CAATAACACGCGCTTCTTCATCATGAACCGCCACACTCCCCCCACCAGCTTCTGCGCCCTGTCCTTCAGCCACGACATTGTCATCTCCCATCAAATCATCCCAAAACTCCTTGTCTGTCTCCAATGCCCTTCTAAGTGGGTCTCTGATTCCAACTCCAGACATACTCGGCGCAGCCTGAAGATTATCAACCCCTTGAGGGAGAGGATGCGGGACCACATGGGGTTCGTCAGTGCGATGACCTACATCACCACCTAAAGACAATGTTCAGAATGGTCAAGTTGCGAAATAAATGCACTCCGATGCAAATATCCGGATATGTTTAAAACTATGTTTATAATTTCTCACTTGGCCACATAATTATATTGATATCCATATCTGTTTAAAAAAAAATAATACCAACACACACAACCTTACCTTCCGGGTTAGCCACCGCAGCAGGGTGTGCTTCAGCCATGTCATCATCATCATCATTTATTTCTATTATTTCCCGCGCAATAGCTTCATACCGCTGCTCAGTTTGGCGTTGCATTGCGTCGGCCAAGCCCATTTCTAGATGAACACGGTGGAGGATCATCATCCCTTGCTCATTAACCATCTCTTCCAATAAGTCTATGTTGCACCTCATTCGCCTCCCCATAACCAGCCCTATAATGAATGTGATGTTTTAGCATCAGTTTTTAAAATATAAATATTATAATAAACATCAAAAGGTTTCCCAGAAAAATAGAGCACTTACTTTCATAACATCTCCTATGAAACGCATCTTGACTTCCGTCAACCACAAACCTCCTTATCCCTATGTCGAAGTTGTCTCTACGGTTGAAGTGGAATCTGGCAACGCTTTCTGCCCCGATTGTTGCAACCATGATCAACTCAGTGAACCACTCCCTCACACTAAGCATTACAGGTATATCATTTGTTGACGTTATGCTTATTGGGACGGATCTCCTTCCCAGCGGACCAAGAATCCACGACGGAAACTGGTAAGAGATGACAACCGGTGTACGGATCCCCAAAACATATCGCATTCTTACCGTGTTTAGTAAAGAATCATACGTCTCGCTGTCCCTCACCATCACACCGAACCCAAAGTCTGTAGGATCAGGGTGAAAGTACCATGCTCCAGTGTTATCTCTGCTCCATTCACCACGCCAAAGACGAACAAGCTTCCCCATCTGAAAAGAATACATTACTTAATCAGTTTCTGTTTGTAGACTACATTATTCTATTATTGTTTTCTATTGTTTATGCATGCAAAAGAAAAAGATCGTTTTGCACCAATCAAAAAACTAAAGAGTAAAGAGATTGACGGCGGAATATAGTCATCATATATAACACCTACATGTGCAACATATTAATGTGTATAATAAATTGACCCAAACAACACGGTAAACGAATTTAATACTCGACATAAACGACCATAATAAATCACCTTAGATTCTCCGAAAAACAAAGAACAAACAGAATTTTCTCAGACTGACATTAAAGACGTTTTTCAGCTTTGTAAGTGACAGTTAAGCTTATGTTTCTCAATCCATCTCACTCTCGTTTTATAGAAGAAAACCTATACACCACATATCGTTGTATTAAATGCTGGCTAACATGCACACTTTACCGTGACCTTCTAGTGAAAAGTTTACGCTTTTTAATGTCTTCTAACTGGTCAGAATGGTCGGCTACGGAAGCTACGAATATGTACTTGAGCTGTATGTATATTTTTACTAATCATTACGTGCATGGTAACGAACTCTTCGGGGTTCTCGCGAGTACATAGACACACGAATCGATGCTCACTCCTCAACTAGCGCGTCGAGTGTATCTCATAGACATAGGGCTGAAACGGTCTTTTCTGATGGAAAAGCTATGGGCTTCATGTTTGGGCTCTCCATTTATCCACCGCCGCAAATTTCTACTTCTCCTACGATTTTTGGTGCAAATCGCTCTTTTATTTATTTCATTTATATGTAATCATTATGAAAATAAAATATTAGGGAATCGGGCAAGCAAAAGCTGGATTCGAAACGGCCACAAGTTGGACAAGGTGAGAGATTATTAAATCACTACACTAAAACAAACAATCTGAATTTTGGCGTCCTAAATAGATTTGATATCAGTTGGCGCCTAAAGCCCATGCTTTACGGGTTTAGGTCAGGGCCGGCCCTGAGTATGAGTGTAGTAAACTCTACATTTTTGGAATCTCAAGTATCTAAATATTCTAGATATTATAAATTTTGCATCAAGGTGAATCATCTAGATGCTTATGTAACAGTGTCCAAACGAACAACATCTAAATCTCAAATGCCCATCACAAATATGATACCATACAGAGTTTGAAATCTTGACCAAGATACCATGGAGCTATAGACAACTTACTAAGGGTTTCAATAAAAATTAATGGTACAGTGTATTAGATTGGATCTGAGATTTTGGAGGCTACAGACAACTTAATAAGGGTTTCAATAAAAATAATTTTTTTTACAAATTTGGAGATCTAATTTTCTGTAATTGTTTTTTTTTAATATGTATTAGGAGGCCTTAGGCTAATGCTTGACTAGCCTATCAACAAAAAAATCAGCAACTTGTAATAGTTTATTATTTGTTACACAACATTTGTATTTTCATGATCCTTCAAACAATCATTCAAGAAAATAGAAAGAAACGTCATCTGTTGAATCGTCTCCATCTCTAGTTTGAGAAGTTACACTGACCAAGGTATAACTTGAAGCTCTCACCTAAGTACACACCACAAGTAACCCTTTTGGTGCGTTGCTCGTACCCCGTCTAGTGTACTTTACTGTACATCCATTCGAACTTGGAAGCTAAGCATTTACTGATTTTACATAGTCCAATCTGTAGCTCATCCTCATAGGACACACTTGTGATTATTTCAAGTAAGTTTGTAAATGTAAAACTTAGGAATCTCTGTGTGTGTAACGACTGCCACAACTTTATCAAGATCATGTCTAGAATCGTTGGTCGAACGTTGATTATGAGAGATAACAAACGTTTCCATCACTTCAGTGATGGATAATGTTCTTGTGGCGATTATTGGTAGAGTCCATGTTCTAGAGACCCTTTCACATAAGGTATTAAGTTTGTGTTTATTGCGTTTGATATATTTTTGCTCATATTATGGCAGAACCTTGGAGATCATGTCGGTTTAAAGTGCAAGATTGTGAATGCACAATTTATAGGAACACATTAATTCTTTATACAACCATCACAGTTGACACATTGCTGTTCAATAACAATTCAGGCGTCTCCCATTTTCGGTTATTATATTCCAGATTTTTGGATACCTGAATTTTAAACTCCGATCTTAGGTTGTTCCTTTGTACGAATTGACTAATGCAAAACCTAAACCAAACATTAATCTCAAAAACAAGTTTTTTTTTTGTGAAAGAGCGAACATGAAAACAAGAATAGCTACAAGTTAGATTTACCGAAGGAATGCGAGGTCTCATTGACAAAAAAGTGAGTTTGTATTAACAGTAAAATCGGTCCTAAAATCACTAAATAATCAATACTTATATGATTTTTTCAAAAAGAAAAAGGATTTTTCGTAATTAAACCTCCAACTAAAGATATATCGTAAAACAAACCTTCAACTAAAAATCCTGTGAAATAAACCCTCAACTAAAAATCTTGTGAAATAAACCCTCATCTTTATGTCCATTAATGTTTTCGCCCCTCCGTAACCTTTTCGTCAACATTTAAGGTTTCTCCGTCAAAAGTTGACGACAAAAGTCACGGAGGGGCGAAAACATTAACGGACATAAACATAAGGGTTTATTTCACAATATTTTTAATTAAGGGTTTATTTTACGATTAATCTTTAGTTGAGGGTTTAAATTACTAAAAATCCTTATATTCCCGCCTGATCTTCAAGATTCCAACCAAACAATAAGAGAAGTCGAACTAAGGTAAAGATAAAAAAAAAAAAATAAAGCTAAAGAGACAAAAGAGAAATCATTTTTTTCTTTTTAAGTGGTGTGCTCGATTGAGATTGAAATTATTATTTTGGGGGTAACTGATCAACCAATCAACACGAGATGTTATATGTATAAGGAGTTGATATTACCACCTTCGTTCGGACACCGATGATCTAACTTGTATAAGTTTTGAAACTGCTCATTTGTCGACTTTCTCTATAAGCCATGGAGCAAATTATGTTTGAACCCTATATAAGACACGTACTATTAAGGTATTACGGGAGTAATTCAATCGGCGTAGTGATGTTTCTAAGAATTCATTTGTTCGGAGTACGTCTGATGATTGACGTAGGAGCACGGTGTCATGCAGAATATTTCTTCAGCTTAAACAAAGAAACAAAAGAAATGAAAGTTGATTCAGGATAACACATATACAAACACAATTTATAGCAGTGCCATCATCGTTGAGCAAGTCAAAATAACTTATAATAACTGCAACTAGCATTTCTTGATTTAGTAGTAAGAACTTATTCAAACAGTTATCCTGAGGCTGAGAATTAGACATGTGTGCACGTATGTAAGACACAGCCAAGTCTCATATAGAATATCCAAAGATTTCAAACTGAAACATTTAACCTTGACTAGTTAAAACCTCATTTAACCACGCCTCACAGACATGGTAAAAACTCACTAAGGTCAATACACATATTTTAGATCACAGCTGAAACCTTTTGTTTCATATATAACATCAGCTAGAACGCAACAAGCAAAGATGCAAAACAATAATAAAACATATAGTATTGTACCTGTGGCTTGTCTTGGATATAAGACTACCAAAGTAACTAACCCACAACAGTAAGAAATTTCCAAATGATGACATGTGCAGTGATATGTTATTGCTAATTCAAAAGGAAAGAACTATTCTTAGCTTTTCTTTGATACTGTCTTTCATGTGTAAGTCAACTCAAAAATCAAAAACCAAAAATCTAATGTTCAAGGAAGTGCAGAAGAATCTAAGTTAATTAACAGACTAAGGCGAGAGAGAGAGAACCATTAAGCTGTTTAAGATGGCCGGAGTTCTAAGGTCACTGAGTTTCTGGATACTAATCCAAGTGGTCTCTTTGGTGTTAGCTCAAGACGGTACTCAATTTGTGCACTATAACTTCAGTAAAGCAGACCTTCATCGTGATGGCATGGCAACTATCGATGATGGCCTATTGCATCTAACAAATAATACAAACAGGAGCACCGGCCATGCTTTCCACAAGATTCCAATGAACTTCACAAGGTCATCTCCCAGTTCACTTTCTTTTTCAACAGAATTTGTCTTTGCGATGTTTCCTTTGCAAGGCGACGGCCAGGGACTAGCTTTTGTGGTATCTCCCTCGCTGGACCTCAGGTATAGTGGCGCTGCAACATCATACTTGGGGATTTTCAATAGGACAAATGATAATAAAACTGAGAACCATATCTTGGCTGTAGAGCTTGACACTAATCCAAGCTCTGAAGCAATTGAAGATAGCTATAACCATGTGGGGATTGATATTAATAGCATAGTCTCGGTGGAATCTTCCAATGCTAGTTACTTTAGTGATACAGACAAGAAGAACATAAGCTTGCCTCTTGCTAGTGGAAAAAGTATTCTGGTCTGGATAGATTATGATGATTTAGAGAAGCTACTAAATGTAACGTTAGCCCCAGCTCCAACAAAGCCAACTTCGCCTCTCTTGTCAAGATCCATCAAACCAAGTGTGCCTCTCTTGTCAAAATTCATTAATGTTTCAGAAATTTTCAGTGAAACCATGTTTGTAGGCTTCTCAGGATCCACAGGGACAGTCAAAAGTGACCAATATATTCTTGCATGGAGTTTCAAGAAAGGTGGACAAGCAGAGAGCCTTGACTTGTCAAAGGTTTTGGATGCCCCTAATCCACCTCCACCACCCTCAGGGTCCAATGACTCCAACATGAAACTAATTCTAGTTGCTACTATACCTTCAATTGCATTTCTGATGATGCTTGGAGGAATTTTTTATCTTTACAAGAGAAGGAAGTACTCAGAGGTGCTAGAACAATGGGAACAAGATTATATCCCTCAAAGGTATTCTTTCAAGAACCTATACAAAGCAACCAAAGGTTTCAAGGAGAATCAGCTACTTGGAGCAGGAGGTTTTGGAAAAGTATATAAAGGAGTACTTCCTTCTGGTGTTGAGATTGCTGTTAAGAGAGTCTATCATGACGCAGAACAAGGAATGAGACAGTATGTTGCGGAGATAGCTAGTATGGGGAGGCTAAATCACAGAAACTTGGTGCCGCTTCTTGGTTATTGCAGAAGGAAAGGTGAATTGCTTTTGGTTTATGACTACATGCCAAATGGAAGTTTAGATAACTACTTGTTCAATAACCAAGGCCTCACTTGGTCTCAGAGATTGAACATAATCAAAGGAGTAGCATCTGCCCTTGTTTATCTTCATGAAGACTGGGAACAAGTTGTACTACACAGAGATATCAAAGCTAGCAACATTCTTCTAGATGCTGATCTGAATGGAAGGTTGGGAGATTTTGGATTTGCAAGATTCCATGATCGTGGCCAAAATCTTGAAGCCACGCGTGTGGTAGGAACCATTGGTTACATGGCACCAGAGCTAACTGCAATGGGAGTGGCTACAACAAAAACTGATGTCTATGCTTTTGGATCTTTCATCCATGAAGTGGTCTGTGGAAGAAGGCCAGTAGACCCTGAGAGACCCCCTGAGCAAATGATTCTACTCAAGTGGGTTGCTATTTGCGGAAGCAGAGATAATTTAATGGTTACTGTTGATAGTAAACTTGAAGGAAACTTTAAAGCTGAAGAGGTCAAGATGCTTTTGAAGATAGGCATGCTTTGTTCTCAGAGCAACCCAGAGAATAGGCCTAGTATGAGACTTATAGTACAATATCTTGAAGGAAATGTCATTGTTCCGGACATATCATATGATACATCTGGATTTGGTATGCCAAATATAAGCAATGAAACGGTGACACAACAGCCTGAGACCTCCTCATCAGCTAACTTCTCGTTTGAAGATGTTACAGTCCTATTTGGTGGTCGTTGAAGCCTCCTGCATCACAGCTAAACTCACAAGTAAAATTTTCTTCTGCAACAAAGGCTTGTATGTAAATGATTATGTTGTATGTTGTATGTAAATGATTGTGTTGTATGTATTGTATGTAACGACTTGTATCGTTGAAGCCTAATTGTGTTGTATGTAAATGATTCTGTTTCCGATTCAAAAAAAAAAAAGAAGTAAGTCTATTTTAGAATATTTTACATGTAATCAGGTTTGAAGAGACATTTATGTTTGGTTCATTCTCAACTTACGATACAAATTGAACCTAAGATCCAATGTGATACTTATTGCCGAACAGAATAGGTCAGAGGGTATAGCTCCATTGTCATCTGCATGAGGTTTCAACAACTTAACAAAATTTAAAACTGTGCCATCATCGTTGAGGAAGTAAAACAACTTAAACTACATGCAACTAGTGTTTCTTGATTTAGAATATGTTTTAAACTACACCCAACTAGTATTTCTTGATTTAGAATATGTTCTGTAAGAACTTATTGAAACTATTATTCCAAAAGACATGTGCACGTATGTAGTAACCAAGTTTCACATATGACTTTGACTAGTTAAAACCTTATTTAAATACACTTTTCATAAATTGTCAATATGTGAAACTCACATACATAAATAGTAAGTAAAAACTCAACAGATTCTATGTAAAGGTCAGCTCAGGGTTTTCTGGAGATAGAAAACACAATTCTCATAGAAAAGAAAGTGCAGAAAAAAACTAAGATTCACAAGCCAAGGCAGATAGAGAGGAGATCATTGTTGTTCCAGATGTCTGGAGTTCTAGGCCACATGGGTGTATGGATACTAATTTGTATCCATGTGACACCTTTGGTGTTAGCTCAAGGCGGTACTCAGTTTGTGCATTATGACTTCAGGAAAGCAGACCTGTACCGTGATGGTATGGCAACTACCGAAGATGGCCGGTTGCAGATTACAGGTAATACAACCAAGAGTACCGGTCATGCTTTCCACAAAACCCCCATCAAGTTCACAACTTCTTCTTCAAGTTTATCATCCTTTTCAACAGAGTTTGTCTTCGCAATTTTTCCACTGCACAGCCCTCTCTCTCACGGTCAAGGTATGGCTTTTGTAGTAGCTCCTACAATAGACCTCAGGGTTAACGGCACTGAAACTTCAGGGTTAGGGCTTTTTAGTACATCAAATGATAACAAAACTACAAACCACATTCTTGCTGTAGAACTAGATACTAATGATAGCCCTGAAGCACTTGACAGAAGTGGTAACCATGTGGGGATTGATATAAACAGTAAAATCTCAGTAGAATCTGAGGATGCTAGTTACTATAATGAAAAAGAGGGGAAGAATATAACCCTGCTGCTTGCTAGTGGAAATAGAATTCTCATTTGGATAGATTATGATGGAATAGAGAAGAGACTTAATGTAACGTTGGCTCCTGTACCAACTCCAAAGCCAGTTTCACCACTCTTGTCAAGCTCCATCAAACCAAGTGTGCCTCTCTTGTCAAGATACATCAATATTTCAGAAATTTTCAATGAAACCATGTTTGTAGGTTTCTCAGGATCCACAGGCACAGTCAGAAGTGACCAAGCAGAAAGCCTTGACTTGTCAAAGGTTTTGGATCCCCATAATCCACCTCCAACACCATCCTCAGGGTCCAATGACTCTAACATGAAACTAATCCTGGTTGCCACTATACCTTCAGTTGCTTTTCTGATGATGCTTGGAGGAAGTTTCTATCTATACAGAAGATGGAAGTACGCAGAGGTGTTCGACGACCAATGGGAACACGAATATATCCCCCAGAGGCATCCTTTCAAGAACCTCTACAAAGCAACCAATGGTTTCAAGAAGCTACTTGGAGCAGGAGGTTTTGGAAAAGTATATAAAGGAGTACTTCCTTCTGGTGTTGAGATTGCTGTTAAGAGAGTCTCTCATGACGCAGAACAAGGAATGAGACAGTATGTCGCCGAGATCGCTTGTATGGGAACGCTAAATCACAGGAACTTAGTGAGGCTTCTTGGTTATTGCTTTTGGTTTATGAGTACATGCCCAATGGAAGCTTAGATAACTACTTGTTCAACAACCTCCAAGTTCTCACATGGTCTCAGAGAGTTAACATAATCAAGGTAGTAGCATCTGCTCTCTTTTATCTTCATGAAGGCTGGGACCAAGTTGAGACATAAAATCTAGCAACATTCTTTTGGATGCTGATCTAAATGGAAGGTTGGGAGATTTTGGGTTTGCAAGATTCCATGAACGTGGCCAGAAGCTAGAAGCCACACATTTGGTAGGAACCATTGGGTACATGGCACCAGAGCTTACTGGAACGGGAGTGCCTACAACAGAAACCGATGTCTATGCTTTTGGGGCTTTTATTCTTGAGGTGGTCTGTGGGAGGAGGCCAATAGACACTGAGAGACCCCCTGAGCAAGTGATTTTACTTAAGTGGGTTGCTCTTTTCGGAAGCAGAGATAGTTTAATTGTTACTGTTGACAGTAAACTTCAAGGAAACTTTAAAGCTGAAGAGGTCAAGATGCTTTTAAAGATAGGCATGCTTTGTTCTCAGAGCAACCCAGATAGTGACCTAGTATGAGACTTATAGTACAATATCTTGAAGGAAATGTCACTGTTCTGAGCATATCATATGATACATCTGAAATTAGTATGTCCAATATAAGCAATGAAACGGTAACACAACAGCCTGAGACTTCCTCGGTAGCTAACTTCTCGTTTGAAGATGTTACAGTCATACATGACGGTCGTTGAACCCTGCATCACAGGCTGCTAAGTTACAAGTGAGTTTCTTCTTTTTGCTACAATGTTGTCTTCTGAGTGAATGAATGTTTTCCACAGTTTTTTTTCTTTTTTGTCACAGTTGAGCCTTTGTATTGTAATGTGTTACTGTTTGCAAACCATGGAACATGCTGAAACTATTCAACTTACTGATCAAACGAGCATGACGAGGCTTCTTTTCTCATAAAATATATAACATAATTACGTTGCAAAGAGTATAGCTTAAACCATAAATGTTTATCTCTGTAGACTTTACAATGACACACCTCTTTTTTCAGCGTTTCACTTCAAGATTTTAGATTCAATCTCTTCCAGACTCAGACCCTTGGTCTCAGGAACTACTAGGACTACAAACAAGAGTGATACCAATGCTATGGCTCCAAAGAGAAGGAAGAGATTCTCTGCTCCAAGATATTCCTGCAAAGGTGGCATGGGAGCCAAAGTTACTAATAAACTTCAAGGGAGATTTAACCAGAGGGGAGCATAAGAGAGATTACCTTTAAGGGTGAAAACGCAAAGGTCACAATGGCATTGGAGCCAAAGTTTGTAAGAACTGCAAGACTGATCCCTCTCCCTCTTGTGCGTAGTGGGAAAATCTCTGACACCATTAGCCAGCTGATTGGTCCAAATGAGATCTGGTTCCAACAGACACATCAGGAAGATATGACTACTGAAGTGAAGTAAGCTGAGACTTTTTTAGTATAGTCTAAGTTTCCAGTTTTCTAAATATGCTACTTCTTGATTCTAAACGATCTAGGGAAGAGCTAGAACACAAACCTGGTAGCAACCAACATAGAGAAGCAGTGCACCAACTGCTACAAGGGGAAAACCTCCGAGAAACTTGTAGTATGCGGACAGTAGAAACAAAGACAACGCCTGGCATTTTTGAAACATACAAAAGAAAAGAGTAAGCCAATGTATCAAAATATGAAACTTAAGGCACAAGAGTTACTCATACAATGCCACTGACGCCTCCAATCAGTAAGGGTCGTCTTCCAAGATCATCAACTTTCGCAACAGCTACCCATGTCATCAGTAACTGCAGAGGACCTTATCAGTTGAAGAGGTCTGTTTTATATAACTGGACGCATGTTAAAATATAAGATAGTTAAGAGAAATGAGCACCTTGAAGACTCCAATAATAACAGAGACTCGAGTTGCATCAGCAGCAGCAGAGAATCCAGCAGTCTTTGAATAGATAAATGAGAGCAATCAAGTCTCATGAAAGATCCAACTAGTACACTAAAAAATCGCTAAAGCAAGCATACCTGAAGAATCGATCCCGCGTAGTAAAGGACACTTGGCTGTCCAGTTATCTATCAAGATGATGCAAAGTATAATTTAAATCTCACATTCATCCAAAGACCAACCAACAAAAGAAGAAAGATCACCTGCTGGAAAAGGACTAAACCTCCACCAATAGTCAGAGCTTTCAAGTTAGGCCCTTGGAACACTTCCAAGAAGTTCCCCCCAGACTTCTCATCTTCATAAGCCGTTTTCACAGTTAACAACGCATCATCCACTAGCTTCTCCGACAGTTTATCACCGGCAGGTCTGCCACGTAGTTTGCTGAGAGCAAGCATGGCTCTCTCTTTGTATTCTTGTAAAGATCCTTTACCTTGAACAGCTCTGAGAAGCAACCAGCGAGGAGATGGAGGGAGGCTCCACATGCCTAGTCCCATGAGCAAAGCAACAGGTGTACCAAATCCATACATGTATCTCCACCCTCCTACTACATCAATCTCAAAACTTCCAACAGAAAACCCCAACTGTGCAGGAAGAGGGATTAGAGTGTCCAAATGAATTACATAGGAATCATAACAGGGAAGAGATGGATGTGTACCAGAATGCCCAACACAATGAAGAGTTCTTTCAAAGATATAAGTGTTCCACGGATTTGAGATGGGCATGTCTCAGCGATATAGAGTGGAGCCCCATGCATTGCCTATACAGTAAACACTAAACAACAATCAACGGAAGCGACAAAGAAACAAGACAATGTTCAAAAGTGTTTCCAAAGCTTACCAAACCAATACCCAAACCATAGAGAAGCCTTCCGAGTAAGAGAACATTAAGATCAGGAGCGCATCCAGTGATCAGAGACCCAAGGAGATAAAGACCAGCTGCTATAATAAGTTCCCGTCTTCTTCCTTCATAAGAAGATGATAAGAAAAAACAGAATGAGAGACTTGCAACCAGTTAAGAAGAGCGAGTAAAGACACAGGAGGTTACCAAGGAAATCAGCAATGCCATAGACAAGAGTTGAACCAAGAAGGGCTCCATATAAAGATCCGCTAACCTACATAACAAGATACATATAAGAACTATAACTTTCTGCTAAAATCCATGGCTTAAATATGGAGAAGCATCTATAGATATAAGCATTACCACAAGTCCCAGCTGAACAGGTGACAAGTTAAACCATGTAGTTCCACTGAGCGCAGGTGACTGTTCCAACACCATTACGATGTTAGGCTTTGTTGGTAGTTAGCAGCTAATAAAACAAAAAGCAAAGAATTTAATTCAAAACCTGAAGAGAGAGAGTAGCACCGGAGGTTGCTCCAATATCATACCCGAACAATAGCCCTCCTAAAGCCGGGAAAATAAACCTAAAGTTTCAAGCAAAATGAATGTAAAAATCAGTGTTGAGACTAAAGCTCAATCTAAGTAAATACTTTTAACATTTGATGATGATACATAAGCCATCACAGATTAAGATCATTACACAAACCAAACCAAACCTATAAACTTAGCTCAAGGGATTCAAAGGGATCAATACTTACGGGAGTATCACAGAAGACCAAGAAAATGACTCTGGTTCATCAGAAGAAACAGAGTCAGCCACTTCTCCACTGTCGGCGAACTCTCCTCCAGTCCTAACTCCGACCTACCCATGAACCAAAAACAAAAACAAAAATCAAACATTTTTAAAAAGCAATCAAAACCCATGAAATCTGTTCATTCCTCACCTGGAATCTTTGCCTGTGTCTAGAGACTAACCCAGGACTAGGAGAAAAGAAAGTTAATTCCTTGGAAGGGAGGTAAGATGAATGAGGCCTGGATTTGAAACACGAGCAGAAGAAGGTACGAGCAGGACTAGAGTTCTTGAACTGGTTTCGTTGAAAGGGTTTGATGGCGAAATGTGACTGAGCAGAGACAGCGAAAGACATGATCGGTGTGAGACAAGTCAGGATTCTCCCGCTAACTTTGTACGCTTATCGCTCATCCTCTTGAGTGAATCTTCAATGTTTTTTTATTTTTAAAAAATAAATAAATCCAAAAAAAGAAAATATTGTGTGGTGTGTGTGTCAAACTGTAAATTAGTATGAGTAGGGCTTTCTGTAAATACATAGAGTACTCACTCTTTCTATCTTCACCGCCATTCTTAAACCTCTGTCAGCTCGTGGAACAGAGTACGTTAGCCAATCATCCACAGTGAGTAATTTTTTTTTTCATATTCTGCTTCTTTCTCGTTCTATTTCTGTTAAAGATGATAACTTTCTATCTTCTCCTTCCGTGGAGGTAAAGCTTTTGTCTTCCTCTGTTTCAAATTTTGTATTTTATTTTTTCGGCTGAAACAGAGGTTAGATTGGGATTGAATCATGAGCTCTTTTTTGGAGCAAAATCCTTATTGAATGGGTGAAGCAAATTGATGCATACCTAACTTGGCTATATTTTCATATGTTAAAGGTATGAGCTTGAACTAGGTAACCATTAAGCTATTAAGGGAACAAGACAGAACGTGAGGAGGATCCGTGTTGTGTGCGTGGTGGGAACGGGGCAGGAAACTTCTCATGGGGAAGCGCTTAGCTTGTCTGTGACACCCAAAGACAAGGAAGGAAGGATCTTGGGTGTGGCTTCCAACAATGAGCTTGTCCATATGGGCACACAAACTCTTGACATTGTTCAAGTTGATGCTGCTCTGTTCTGTTATGTTCATGCAGTGGTATTTCCAACTCTATGGACTTGGAGAGAAGAAGAGGTTTGGTCCTTAATGATGATCGCTTGGTTTTTGTCTGTTCTTTTTTCTCATCAACGGTCCCAACTGATTGGAGTCAATCAACAAGTGACCCAACACTTGACTTGACACTTTGAAGGTTGCTTGAAAGTATCGTATCAAGACCTGGACAATGTGGTTTGTGCTGATGGGTAAACAAACAATTTTTGGATTCTACTCATCACGTCTTAGTCGGTTGTTTTCTCAGGCTTTGTTTCGGTGTGATATGGAACAGGTTACATAATAGGGGATTTTCAAATTTCGCAAATTCCATTTATTAACTCCATTGCAACGAGAGTATTGGAACAAAGCCAAAATATGTTATGTACATTACACTAAGAGTTCGCATTTAGTTGGAAAGTTTAGCAACAAAGAGATAGCCTTCTCTTAGAAAGTAAAGTCTCCTTTGGTCTGCAAAAAAAAAAGAAAAAAAGAAGATATGTTAAGTCAAAGTGAAACTTCAACTTCTCGTTGCACAATTCTCCAATTGTCAAGAAATTGGGTCAGACCTCAGAGAAAAGAATGTTCTTTTCGTTGATTTGCATAACCCCAGCTTTGAGTTTGCACTCCCACTTGTTCTTTCGCTTCTTCACCTACAAAAAGTTTGCATCTAGTTGATTAAAATAGTCCTTAAATCACTGTTCAAAATATGCAGCAATGAAAGAGAAAAACTTACATAATCAAACTGACACATGATTAAATGCGGAATATCCTCATCATCATTGATAGCATCTTCCTCATAATCATCATCCTCGTTCAAACTTTCATCATCATCATCTACAATCATCATTCATTCACACAAGTCAAAACACCTTTCACAACAAACCCATATATATATGTACACATCTAAAACTTTACCATGAGGAGCAAAAGCGCTCGACTTTATATCATCACTAGCACCATCCTGCTGAGGAATGTAAAACCCTTCACTCTCGTTCTTTATAGACATCCCAAGCTCCTGAAATCGTTTTAAAAATTAACCCGCGACTCAAACCACAACAAACTCTCCATGGCCAAAACAGAACCATACCGTAGATGGATACTGAGCATCATTGTCAATCCCTCTCTGAGCATATCCATGCAAAGGACTCTGATTCTGAATCAAAGGTGTGGTAGGAAACGAAGGAGGAGAAGATAATGTTTCTATCGGTCCTCTTATGACTCCTGCTTGTACCATCTTCCTTGTCCAAGTCTATACACAAAAGATCGTAATATAATCAGTTTCGAAAAAAAAACCCTAACTTACACCTTAAGAAAAGCCAAGCAACTAATAAATTACATGTTAAAACAAAATCAAAATCGTTCGGTTGAGACCTAAAATAATATCGAAACAATGAAGAGTTTGTCAACTAACCGCGTGAAGCTCGCTGAGAACAGACTCATCGAGTTGTCCACTGAATACGAGGTCGTTTCGAGACTTGTTGATAACATCGTTGCTGATACTGATATATGCGTCGCTTGTATGGCTCGAGTCCATTCCGAAACCGTCTGACTCTGATTGAAGTTCTGTGGAGGAAGACGAAGAAGAAGAAGAGAGGAAAGCAAAACGATTGAAAGTTTGGTGGGGAGGAGGGGGTTTATATAGGTTTTGGCCGCATCCCACCGCTATTTATAGTCGCGATAATAAGCTGTAAAGTCGGTTAAATTTTGGGCCCGTTAGTGACGTGGATCTGATGTGGGCTTTTAAAAGCCCATTTAAGCCCAATCAATAGCCTTCTTACAACTTTGTTAAATCTTTCGGGTCATTTAAAGGTGAGTTTTTGTTTTGTACTTGGATTTTTGAAACAGTATTGGTTTATTTTATTTAACTGATGAAAGATTGACCATCCTTCACATGAGAGGTCGAAACAGTAAAAGCTGGTGGTGACTTGTGACATAACGAGGATTTTCCACAAGGAAGTCCCCTAATACACCCCTCGAGATGATGGCTCTTTGACGTCAATCTCGGAATGTTCGAGCAAGGATCGAAGGACCGAATTTGGGCTGGATCGATAAGGATCAGGTTGGATTACATGGATCGTGGGCTCTGATACCATATTAAGGTGGATGGACTTCCAACTTAAAACCAATTGGTGATAAGTGGAGTGGTCCATCTATCTTATATATTGCTAGAGATCCCTGCAAACAATCGATTTTACCGGTTTAGTCCCCTAATATTAGCCACCCTAATTAATTGATTTGGAACATTTTACCGGTTAAAATTGGAACATTTTACCGGTTAAGTATACTAGTAGACTTATCTCGGAAAAAACATGAAATCTCATATCTGTCATCAGTTAATTCTTTTAATATTCTCGTGCAGGTGAATATTGCTGTCTGTAAATTTCATACTTTCCCCAGCGTATGATGTTTGGAGAACTCAAAGTTGTAAAATATTATTACTGTTTCACTAATTTTCTAGACTTTGTCTAAATTTCTACGTTAGCTTATGTATAAAACCATCAACGAGATCAATATGACTATTTTGTATACAAATAAAATTCCATAAGAGGTAACGTTCCAAAACTCTCATCGTCCTAAATTACTAACAGGCCAAACTAAATGCACCACGAACTTTTTTGTTTGCATACTCTGTGCTGTTGAGCATATAAGAATTTAGAAATTTCTGTTCGATCATTCAATAATCATATATAGACATTATGAATTAGATTCAAGGGAATTTGTTCGATCGACAAGTGTCGTTTTGTGTCGTGACGGAAAGCATGAGCAATTAAGCATTTTACGTAGAGAATTGAATTTTCTGTTGTGGTTTTATATGTATACCACTTTATTTATTCTTCTTTTTCTTCTTTTTTCTCCCGGACAGTCGTCAATTCAAATTAGAGACTGTTTTAAAATTATAGTTTTGCAAAATGTCGGGTTTGGTAAACACGTGGTGATCTGGAAAGATACCATCTCCAAACATTGATTGAGGACATTTCATATCTTTGATTAAAGTAATGGACCTCTCATTTATACTACTAATATATTGGCGTTTTATTATATCAGATGAGCAACCACACCAAACGCAACGGTCAATTTTCACATGCTATGTATATTGCTTGATTCTGAAATTGTTTTCCAAATACTATTTTTAATGTACGAGGTTAGGAATATACTCAACAACTTCATTTATCGGTTTTTCTAGTTTCTGTATATGCAGCTTTATATAGGTCAAGACCAATATTTTATCTTCTCCTTTCTCTCTCCCTTATCTTCTCCTTTCTCTTTTCCTCGCGACCACTCACTTTTTCAGATCTGAATCTTACCTCCGGCGTCCGGCGGCGCGTGCGCGTGCGTGCCGACGCCGGAGGGTTTCCTTCTCCCTTAAATAACTTGTCTTCTCTTTTGCTTCTCCGATGCTCTCTTCACGGTCTTTGTCTTGTCCGTTGCTCTGCTCCTAGGTGCTTGCCGGTGACGTCTTCGCTGCAGAGAGGCTCCGGCTTCGGCATAGTTGTGCTAGGTGGTGGAGTCTCGACACATAGTTGGTGAGCTTGCATCCGGTGGAGTCGGCTTTTAGGGTTTGATGGAGAGTCCCTTAAGCTCTCTATAGGAACAGCGGCGCGTTGAGGAGGATGTTTGACTCGTCATCTAGCTTGAAATTGTAGTCTTCGATCTCGGTTTCGACAGACGGTGAGTGGTGTGGGGTTCTGGATTTCCAACTTTTCCTTGGTGTCTCGGGAAGGCGTGTCCAGCGAGCTCTATACCTAAGGTGCCCCGGAGGATCCTTTTATCTCGGGGTCGTGCTTAGTCTCGTCTCCAGCGCGTGTTGGTGGCCGAGGTGTTTGGCGCGGGTAGTGTTACGGTGGCGCAATGGTGGAGATGTCGTCTATGGCTTCTCCGTCGCGGTGCGGTGATTCTCCGCTTGATCTCTCTCCCTCTTCACGGCTTCTCGATCTCAGGAAACCAGAGGGTTTTGTCGACGGATTGCTCTTTGGTTATACTCCAGTTCTTTTAGTGTGTGTTTTGAGTCGTGCCACCGACTCCTCTTGGAACAGCTCAAGCTCACCCGGTTCTGGTTCTCGGAATGGGCGATTGTCAAGGTGGTGGGAGGTTCTTGTGGTCAGCGGAGTCCTCCCCTCTTTGGTGGCGTAATCGGTTCTTCAGCACATCCCAGCTCCGTGGGTGTTTGATGCTCGCGGTGGTGCTGTTTAACTTATGCTTTTTGCAGGTTTAGGAGTATTGCTATTTCGTTTGGTGGCTACTGTTCCGTACTCGACTTCTTGCACTTGCTGGTGGGCATGAAGTCTCTTCAGCCTTCATGTCACCGAGCTTCCTTGGCGTGTAGAAGTGTACAGGTGGTTTGGGACCGGTTTTCAACTTGGTTTGGTCTCTTAACTCTCTTCTACATTGTTTGTGCGTTAACTAGCGGTGATGGTTATTAGTTTCGAAAAGTTCTTTGAGAGCCAGCTACTCCGGAGACGTCATAGGAATTCCCGGCATCCGAGGAAACGAGGAGAACCTCACATTTCTGTGGCCCACGTCGATGGTAGAGAACGGCTCTTGATTCCTAGAGATTTTAAAATCAACTTAGCGGAATGTGCCGGGTTTAGTGGGCGGGCGAAGCTAGGTTGTAATGTTTTGATTTAGGAGTTTTTGTTCTAATCGAGCCTGTAACCCGAACCGTATGCCCGTTTTACGGGAGGTTTTAGTTTTAATATAATTATTTAAAAAAAAAAAAAAAAAAAAAGCTTTATATAGGTCAAGACAAACTAGTGCATAACTTGTTTATCAAAACATGCAAGTGTGTAATATAAGGACTCATATGTCATCATTTACGAAAGATATTTCAAAATTTAGGATGTTTAATTCATATGTTAATAGAAGATATCTACTAAAGCGCAGTTGTCATATACTAGCTCGTGTTTGTGTTAATACCCTTTTGCACTAATCCTATTTCAATCTCGGTATTCAGTAGTGTTGACTGGAGTAATAACTACAGTCAAACTAGAACCCGACTCATGAACTACAGTGAATTCAGTTAACTCGAAAACTGGTTAAAGTGTTTCAAACTTGTGTTGTTAAAATAGTAAATAAATTAAAGAGAAAAGAGTTAAAGTAAAAACGTAAAAAGGTTTGTGCGAGATCGACAACTGTCGACTACGTTACATAAAAACACCAAACAGTACGCAATTTGCCGGCCATGCAGATTCTGGGAAAAAAAAGAAACTTCCCCGGAAAACACGTGTCTGATATGTGTTCTACCACGTAGTTATTTGAAACTTCTACTTCGGTAACTGCGAGAAAGAAGAACCAACGACCTTAAACCGCAACGTGGGACTTGCGTCCGACACGCGTCTCCTTAGGCCACAAAACTAGACTTTTAGACCTAAACCTCATTTATGAATCAGGACATGAAACACGCCGTTAGTTCCTCTGCCAAAACCTTTGTTTCAAACCATTTTTCATGTTTGAAATTTAAATAACTTAAGCTTTTGTATAGAGACAATCGTTAGTGATTTTTCGATGTGAATCCGATCTTAATTTGAATTTGAAAGATATTTTTCTTTTTATTAAAGAACATTTATAGTTTCGTTTGTAGAAAAACTCTTATTCAACTCGCACTTTATATGAAAAAATCTCACATGAAAGTGAATTTGAACAAATAATATGTTTTCATGATGCGCAGCTCTGATATGAAATCTTAAAGAACATACATGAATAAGCTGAACATGGATCCATATGTATAGTAATCAGACTACTATTTCATAAAATTGTGGGTTTGTCACGTTAATTGGATAATAATCACAATATTATCAAATTTTAATCAGCTAACGATTCAAATTGTTTTTATTTAACTTTACGTTAGATGTAACGTCATAAAATCTTAGCGCCATCTGCAACTAATACTTCAAAATTTCGAATACACATTTTAAGATGCACATTAATAAATTAAACCATTACTGAATAGAAAAACACCAAGCTTACACATGTATGATATGCCATATATATTGGATATTAAACTATTAAAAGCTATAATTTTGTAGGTAATCTTCTAAAACTTATATGCATAAATCTAAACAAGCTTCTAAACAAAACAAACGTAATACATTGAATTTGGCATTAAATATATATCCATTACCATTTACCAGAGATAACTTACGAATCAAACTGAACATTTTATCAGATCGGGAATCAATCATTAGAAAGAAAAGCGTTTTGCGTTTTATCAAACCATAATAATGTGATGTGAAATTCCAACGAGAAACTGGTAAGCTTTCATTTTAAAGTTACAAAACAAAGATAGGATAAATAATCAAACTAGCTTGCTAGAACCATTCTCTCCTTACCGAAAGCTCGCCAACCACCTACTAAAGTAACTAGCCATGTTTCAGTTACTCACCTCTTATTATCATCGTCAATGATATAATAATACTTTACCAGCAAAAAATACACATGCTGGTGTCACTACCTACCAAGAAAAACAAAACAAATAATAAGCTCTATCTTTTTAACTATTAGTCAACAATATACATATTTGAATTTTTTGTGTTGTTTGTTAAACTTGACACAATATTTCAAAATCTTAAAGCAAGTTTATTGGGAGTTTTTAGCATGGAATTCTTAGCGGTATATAAGAACTCGTCACTTAATTTTTAATTAAAAAAATTAAAAATCGGTTCTTAAATATTTTCCTTAGCTTTCATTTAAGAATCTTCTTAACTTTTTCCAGTTAAAAGTTAAGAGACGCATTCTTATATTTTGCTAAGAACCTCTTGTTAAAAACTCTCAATAAGAGCACCCCCCATCAAGATTCAGATGGGGTTCACACGTTTTTCAAAAAAAATATTAAAATAAAGAATAGTGATGAATCTGCCTCTTGCAGGTTCTCTGTAGTGAATATGATTCATCACTGTAGCACGAACTCTACGACACGTGACGGCTCCGCGATTGATGTGCTTTTGTTTTTTTTTTTGTGTAAAAAAATCAATAAAATACAAAATTTTAATGATATAAAATTGAAAATTTAAATCTCAAAAGAAGGTTCATTGATGTGGATGCTCAAAATATGTTCTAAGATTTGAAAGTGATGGTTGGTATAGAGCTCGACGAGTGCAATGAAAATGGTCTCTAAACACAGAAGTGAAATATGATATAATAAATTTTCTTTTTGCTACGTTATATAACAATCAGAAACCTTTCACGTGGCGCAATGTATTTGCCTACTGTCAACTTCAAGTACCTGGCAACTGCTATCCAGCTTTAGCGGACACGTGGTTTCGTTTAAAAACAAATTCCTAACTTTTTTTAATTTTGTTATTGTTTGTAAAAGTAGGACCCATAAAAATCATCGGATGCTAGATTAGTAGAGTGTACATCAGCTTGCACGTCATCCTTTTGTTTACCGCCACGTCCTAGAATTTACCGTAAAACAATTGAACAATTTTAGATAAAGAATGTCTTCTTTGGTTGATTTTGGTAGCGCATCAACAATTGAACAATTTTAATTTTATCGGAACATACAAGCTGACTTTTGATTCTTTTGACTGATAGCTTCTTCTAACTTTTCTGATTCTCTTCGATTGTTTATTTTAATATTCTACTCAGCCAAATTTGAACATTTTAATGTATGTATCTGTGTAGAGATCTAGCAATAGAGAGAGAGAGAGAAAGAGAGAGAGAGGGATATATATGCAGCTTAGGTTTTCATTCATTCTCTAGACATTTATAGTTTTTGACTTCAAATTTTAGGTTCAACTGACTTTAGTTAATCTGCATCTTGTTTTCTATGGCTACGTTTGGTGACTGAATAAGTTAGTAAAGTTTGTTACAGCCAGTCAGCTAGATATGTTTATAGAAATCAAGATACTCGATGAGAATTTTTTACTAACTTAAGGTTTGTACAAACTTATACACTATGGTTTGCCAAGCTCTATCAAGATACTCGATGAGAATTTTTTTTCATTGTACACCGTCAAATGAGTTATTATACTTTGATTTGCACTTTGAAAATATGATTTTTATTAAAATAAAATTTGATATAAATTTTTATTTTGAGATTGTTGTACATATTATTATGTTATAAAGTCATATTATATAGATGATATTCTAGAAAATATATAATTATAAATTATTTTATTTAAAATTTTAAATGTACTATTAGTTAATTCTCTCTAATGTATGGCTATGTTATTATTTTATTTAAAATTTTAAATGTACTATTAGTTAATTCTCTCTAATGTATGGCTATGTTATCGGAACTCGGAAAACCGAACTGAAACTGAGCTGAATTTTTTTTTTTTTTTTTGTCAACGAACGGTTGATCTATTACTCAAACTTGAGTTGATCTGGAATCCAGACCGGAATAGAACAACCAACATACATCAATTCTCGATAAAAAGATCGAGCGGTCTTAGCTAGTGAATCGGAAAAACCATTCTGTGTCCTAGGCACATAAAAAATTTCAAAATTTGGAAAGCAAATCCGCAAAGTCGTAAGCTTTTCCAATTCCGTTGAGAATCTTGGCCAATCTTGTGGGTTCCTTAGCATTGATATTATTTCCTTACAATCCGTCCCAAAGCTCTGACATGGCGAAAATATAAGTTCGCTTCGGATCTGTATCTAAGAAAAAAATATTTATTTTGTATACTTTTAACATGCATGATCTACCTAAATCTGATCGGATATCCAAATTATCCAAGATGTTTTGTATATATTAGGTATATTTGAATATTTCAAATATGTTTTAGTATTACATATATATTTTTAAAAGAATTTTGTGTTTTTGGTTATGGATTTGGTTTCGGGTAAAAATCATTTTTTTAAAAAAATACATCATGTAAAAAGTTTAGTGAATTGAAGTGATTTATATAAATGTTAGAAGATATAATTTGATTTCTATAATATGTGTTAGATATAATACTTAGCTTTATATAGTTATAAGTTGGAATAATATTGAAACAAAGTTATTTATTTATATGTTAAAGGATATTATTTGCTTGCTATAGCAGGGGTTAGTTATAATATTTAGTTTTACATAGGACTAATAATGAATAGGTGCAACAACTTCTTTTAAGTATATTTTTAGAGTAATCATTTTTAATAGTATAGATTTAAGGATTCTAAATAAATATATTAATAATATCGTATAGTTTTAGGTTTTTAAGAATCTATCCATTTTGTTTATAAACACCCAATAAAAAGAAAACCATGTACTGTGATGTAGTTAACATTAACAATGATGGTTATACTGATGTATGTATATATAATATGGTTCTACCATGATATATGGCTTCTTGGTTCAGTTATCATTTAACAGAAGAAATAAAAACTCAATAAAATTAGAACAGTGCGTCAAGAATATAATAGACTCTGTTCATCTTAATAGTAAATGAAACTTGACCAAAAAATCTTGGGTCAGGACGCACTTGTATCACTGGGTCGAAGAGCTAACACGTGTAGAGCAGAGAGGTACGTTATATACTTGTTAGTTGTTACATTTAGCCGGAGGTGGTCCCCAGTTGTTGTCCAAAAGGACCAAAATCCACATACGTACATGTATCTCATTGGACAATATTTTGCGAATTATTTTCTTTTCAAATATAGTATTATGAAAGATGACTAGATATTTAAGTATAATTACGGGGTCGACATTGTTGGAATAACACTGTTAACATATGTCAAATTTTGGGTTTATACACGTTTTTGTAAAATACAGTTGTTTTGTACGCGGAATCTAACTTGCTAGACAATCTGAATTTGTGTTTCAAAAAAAAAAAAAAAAAAAGACAATCTGAATTTAAAGGTACTTTACTATGTCTATGCTTCATCTTTTGACCACATATATATAAACATATTTTACGATTCATTTGAATATCTGAAGTGAAAAACTATTATAACTATTAACTACACTATCTTTTTAGAGATTACTTAGGTTTTTATATGGATCTCAAATACTCAAAACTAACAAAATATAATTATTTCAAGTTTACTAATCATTTGTGTTTACATAAATCTGTAAAATACAATATTAAATAAATTGAAAATAATTTAACACAATCACTCTGTTTTTTAGAGACTGGTGTTTGACATTTTATAATTTAAAAAAAAAATTGTCAGAATGACCATTTAAGTTTTTAATTAATAATAATAAGCAAAAGAAAAATATATTGTGAGAAAATAAAATATCAATTCTGTAACGATTGTTTTTGTATAATAGGAATCCTATAAAAAGCGAAATAAATATAAACTATAGGTACCACATCCTTTGTGGTCATAAACTAAATACAGCATAATATTTTCTTCTTTTTTTTTTTTTGTCAATTTTGGTCACTTTTGGACTTTTAATCCTCAAACGGAGGTAAGGAGGGGTCGAACCCCTAACGTCAGGGCCCGAAGGCAGAGCTCAGTTGCCACTTGGCTACGAACGACCCGACAATATTTTCTTCTAATATTTTAAATTGTTAGGGACAATAATAGTTGGATTATCTATTTATATTGTGGATTCTATCAATTTAACTCAGAACACTTAACATCAATTTGAGCATGTAGTTATCATTTTATACTCACAACACACATGAATATATATATATATATATATATATATATATATATAATATGTATATATTGAACAGAAGATAATTTGTGTACTAGTCAATCCAAAAACAAGAAGGATGTGTTACTCAAAGTCTGGGTTAAATACCATAATTATATTTGATTAAATTTTAAAGCTTGTACATATCATGAATGGGTCATCCAACTATAGCGAACTTGTCAAACCATCATGATTCAATGTGAATGCCCAAAAAGTGAAGAACTTCGTATGGGAAATGAAGTTATACTTCAAAAATCTTTATTTAACTGATAAAATGACGAGGATCAAAATCCATATATCATATCTTTGGACACAACTATACTATGGTGGTGGAAGTGCCATGTTGTCATCAGACGAGAGACGTTCCAGATGGACACTTGAAGACTTCAAGAAGGTTCTGAAGCGCAAATTCTATCTCAATAAAGGTCAGGGTAAAGGTTGGACCGGAGGGGGGGAGGGTTCTGTACATCGAATATGAAAAATAGCTAGGTTACATGAAATCGGAAATTGATATATGGAAATGAAACGTTTTGAAACTTAAAAATGTGATTTAAAAGAAATAGAAATTGAAACATTTAGAGACGTCTACAATATAAAGGTATATATATATATATAAAATTAATCAACTTTTAAGTTTAATTTTATTTATTTATTTATCTAAGAGAGGAAATCAAATGATATAAGTGATGTTTTTCTTGATATATTTTTAAAAAAATTCTAATCAATAATTAAAAAACTAATACATGTTACCATTCGATAAAACTATGGAGCTGATTTCATTCTAGATCAAATCATTATATTAAAATGGAAATAAATATTTAAAGATAATATTAAAAATATAAGTTACGAAACATGTAATTAATAACATCAAATAATAAATTGTTATCTTTAACGCTTTTAAATTAGAAGCACGTGTTTCTAAATCAAAAACGTAAGTTTTCGTCGTGTTTCCAAAATAAAAATTTCAAAAAACACGTTTCTAAATATAAAATCTGATTTTGAAACGTTTTCCAAAACAGGAAACGGACCTTTTATCGGAGTTTCATGCAACCTAGGATAATAGTAACCATGAGCTAGGGATTTTGTTCAAATCGTTTTCAGTACTAAATTGGATCATGAGCTAACAAAATTTATGATATGTCAAACGTCGGATAGTGATGATATTCATGGTTTACTTGACACCTAGAGATGACTCATAAAATTGCACGTTTATAAATTCATCAAAAAAAATTGGACACTCGTCAGAAAACCGTCGATAAGTATTAAAATTTACCAGCACATGTCAGTTATCAAACTAGGTTACAAATCATTCAAAATCTTTGAATATTAACTCATACCATATATAATGCCTGAAAAGATATTTATTTTAAAATCTCTAAATGATTTTCTTACTAACATTTTAAAATCCTCTTACTATTTTCCGCATATTCCACTAGTTCTTACCCCCATTTCTTAATTTCCCCACGTGGTCAATTGTTTTATCCTGTCATTACCAAATTAATTTTCACCGCGTAGGCAACAAATTACTGCCACCTGTTTTTTAATTGAATTATTGGTTGATTCCCATATCTAATAAAGTTATTAAGTTGCAGTTTATAGTAAAAACAACAGGAATTAGTATTGAACTTGTCCTTAAGTAAATTTGGTAAAGATCTTACAAAAGAGATTTGAGAGAGATACAGCATGCGTGTCATCAAAGGTTGTTTTCACTTTAGGCCAGACTTGTGTAACAATCTCATTGGCACACGTAACTCTTTCATATCGATGTTCAGGAGAAGTACATTAACACGTGTTTGGAATCAACGGTTACGATTCCTTCGTCCAGATAGAGGAGCAATACGTCACGCCATTCCACAAGCTCTCTTCTTCATTTCAGATTTTTATTTTGATCTGCCCGTTTAAAGTCTCGGGCAGGTGCCCGTAAATAAAGACGTTTATTTTTTTTTTCATCTTCTTCTATTATATAAACCTTCCATGGCCAACCTTGTTTAAGCTTCTCTCCTCCTCCTCTGTGTCTCTCTTTTACTGGTTTGTGTAACGGAGAGAGAGTGATGGAGTTTGGGTGTTGAAACAGTTTTAACGATCGCATGGCTGAGATTTGTTACGAGAACGAGTCAGTGATGATGAAAACGACGTCCACGGTGGTTAAGAAGACGACGGCGGCGGCGACGACGACGACTAAGAGGCGTGAACGGAGCTCTTCTCAAGCCGCGAGGAGGCGGAGAATGGATATCCGACGGTATAAGTTCGTCTCCGGCGAACAAGACGACGGAGAGTTACACAAGCGGAGGAGACGAGAATCCGCCGTGTTCTACGAGTTGGCCAAGACCGAGACGGCGAAGGAGGTTGTCGTTTTGTGTGAGTCTCTGAGCTCTACGGTCATGGCATTGCCTGATCCGGACGCTTATCCTAAATACGGCGTCGCTTCGGTATGTGGAAGGAGACGGGAGATGGAAGACGCCGTCGCTGTGCATCCGTTTTTTTACCGTCAACAGACGGAAGTTTCCTCTTTAGGGTATCACTACTGCGGCATTTACGATGGTCATGGCTGTTCCCATGTACGACACCGTTTAATTGAAGTTTAACTTACTAGTTATTAATTCTGTCATTTTTTGTGACAAAAAAAAAATTCTGTCATTTTTATGTTGTTTTTGTTTTGAATCTGTTTAGGTAGCGATGAGATGTAGAGAGAGGCTACACGAGCTAGTGCGTGAGGAGGTTGAGGCTGATGATGCTGACTGGGAAAAGTCAATGTCGCGTAGCTTCACGCGCATGGACTCAGAGGCTGTGGCGTTGAACGGAGGTGGTACGGCGAATTGTCGTTGCGAGCTTGAGAAGCTGGAGAGCAACACCGTGGGATCTACAGCGGTTGTGTCAATCCTCACGCCGGAGAAAATCATCGTGGCGAACTGTGGAGATTCCCGTGCTGTTCTCTGTCGTAACGGGAAAGCTATTCCTTTGTCTTCCGACCATAAGGTTATTATCATCGTTGATCTCTTTTAGTTCTGTTAGTACAATTGTCTGTATGTTCATGTCACTGTCGTAGTTTTTATCTTTAGATCTACGGTTATGGTTCACTGTAAAATGGAACAAGAATTTCGTTACGTGTCGCTTCTAAAACTTAGCCATCAGTTTTTCTCGTTGTTTAATGCATCTTTAAAAATGTGAAAATATTATTAATTTATGTTTTTGGAGAATTCGATTTTGTTTAATGGGCATGCAACATCTGGACGGTGGTTAAGAATGTATAAAGACTTTTTAGGTTAGAAGATCTGATAAAGTTTCTGAGTTCTAGGTTGTTTTAATCACGTCGTGTCACTGTTTTCTATGCCTTTTAGGTTTGTTTACATGTCTCTCTCTCTCTCTTGTTTTATTAGCCGGATCGCCCAGACGAGCTAGACCGGATTCAAGCAGCGGGTGGGCGGGTTATCTACTGGGATTGCCCACGTGTCCTTGGAGTACTTGCAATGTCACGAGCCATAGGTCAGTAGAATTGATTACACTTGACGAAACACTCTGTCCCTGTCGTAACGTCTGTACATAAAGTTTCCGTACTTTCAATAATCAAAACTCGCAATTTAATTTTCTTAATATTATTTTGGCAGGCGATAGTTACTTGAAGCCGTACGTTATCAGCAAACCGGAAGTAACCGTAACGGACCGGGTCAAGGAAGACGAGTTCCTTATACTAGCAAGTGACGGTCTTTGGGACGTGGTCTCAAACGAAACTGCATGTAACGTCGTTCGAATGTGTATGAAAGGAAAAGTCAACAGTCAGCTAACATCTTCACCGGCAAACAATGTTGCCGGCGCCGGAAACGTGGAAGTCGGAGGTGGAGATGTGTCGAATAAAGCCTGTGATGAAGCGTCGATTTTGCTGACAAGGCTTGCGTTAGCTAGACAAAGTTCTGACAACGTAAGTGTTGTGGTGGTTGATCTCCGAAGAGACACGTAGTTGTTTCTTGTTCTCTCTCTCGTAATGTTTGTTCTTTTTTTTGTCCCGAGTCATGATGACTTTTGGGCTTTCTTTAACTTTTTTGCTCTTCGGTTTAAGACGAAGGGTTTTTAATTTTAGCTTGACTTTTGGTATGTCACTGTCACTGTGTAAGTGAATAGCGGTTTAAATCTTCAAAAAATTTCACCGTAGGTGAAACTGCGCAACAAGCCGTGGTACATGTCCAGTTTCGATTTTGTTTTAGCGTAGTATCTTTACTACTAGATGGTAAATCGTATCATTCGGAGACTAAGACAATTTAGAATCAGTTGATACCCAATCAGTAGTTAATTCATTTTGATAGGTACATTGTTTCACGACAATTTCTTCATTAAGATGTTTGTTTAATTGTTGTAAGACGATTTACAGTCAGTTGATCCCGAATCTGTGGTTAATTTATTTTTGATAATATTTTGTTTCACGAGGTTTTCTTCATTCAGATGTTTGTTTAATTGTTTATGGAGCTGCGCTAGTACGATTTGTGTTACCCTAATGCTTGTTACTATTGAAATCTAATGTTTTAATGAGAACTTTCAAGTTAATAGATGTAATATAGATTTTTTTTTCTTTTTTGAAACACAGATGTAATATAGATACTGTGTACACATGACAGGGAAACGGAGCGAAAATTTACAAAAAAAGAATACTATAAAAACTAATACGTGTTGATGAGATTTAACATTCTCTACTGTACTTTATAGCAGCTTTTTATTATACATGAAGACATCAATAAGTTTAAATTCATGACAGAAAGGCGTGTGGTTCACACACGCTCATATCACATGTGAAAAGAGTCATATATACTCCGAATAGTGAATTAAGAAAAATCTATCTTTTTTCTTGATAAACCATATCGGCTGATCCGATCAGCTCTAGAAAGAACACACTTAGTGTTACAGAGTGGATTGGCTACCACATTATCTGACCCGAGTTTGGACTACCTTCCGACTAATGTCAGGAGGTGAACCGATCATCTGTTACGATCCACCATATAAACCATTTGAGCTGAATCCAAAGCCCAAATGGCCAAATAATGATAATTTAGTTTTTAGGAGAAATCGAACCCAAAACTAATATAGGTACATACCAAGCCTCAAGAAATTACTATTTACTACTAAACTACCACTACTTGGTTGAAAAATCTAATTTCTCATTAAAAGTAGCTAATCTTGTTTTCTAAATCTGACTTGGGGACTCCTCAGTCTGCATATATCAACATAGGTTGTGAGATGTTATCCACATGATATGTCAAGATCTAAGCAAAACGCATTGGGCTGAAGATAATGTGACTGATATGGGAGTTATCTAACAGCCATCTGAAAAGAAGCTTAATCCCTTTTCTACATTTCATCAGCCAAATCCTAAGGATATAAATAATTGGGGTAAGTGATTCACTGCTTCTCTCTTATTGTATCTGTAGTTTCGTTTATTCAGGTTCTTAAGTCTACGGTTTGCATTTTTAAACTCTCTTCCGGTGATAACTAATCCATCTAGGTTTTGACAGTGGTAACGAGAGTTGACTAGGTATGGCTTGTATATTGAATTGGTTTTGTTTGCTTTTTAGAAGTTGGTGAGGAACAAAACTTTCAAACAATGTTGAAAACAAGCTAAGATATGAACTTCTAGTTTAGACATTGTTGAATTTTTCATAACTAGCAATGCCGAGTAACCATATCCACTTGTGCATTTAATAATGTTTCTCCCACAACATCACAAGTGATTCATATAAAATTATTTTTGGATTCTTTCTCAGAAAATTTCGTAATAATTGGAATTGAATATCTCTTTTTATATATTTTTTTTTGATAAGTATGTGAATATCATTAAAAATGAAACATAGTTGTACGAATACAAAGATTTAAGGCTGATAACCCATTTGCTGCCAAAAAAGAATAAAAAACAGCTAGGGGCTTAATCGATAGTATTAACTATCAAAGGCTAAGCATACTTAAGCCAACTTTGCATAAGAGTATGAAACTTCTTGTGCTTTTTCCTTGCAAGGATGACATTACGCACTATCCTGTCTATTTCACGAAAAAGGCTTTGTGGGGTGGACGAAACAGAACGATGGATTCTCCCATTTCGTTCAGCCCAGATTTTGTATATTGCGGCTTGCACGACGAGGAGACGAAGAGTAGATGGGCATGTGCTGTTTGAGGTATCAAGCCATGAGTGCAGGGCCGTCCATGTGTGGAATAGAAAAGGCCTGTATCCCATTCTCTTCATCAATAACTTCCAGAGCTGTTCACTGAAACTACAACGCAGAAATAGGTGGTCACGAGTCTATTCATAGTGGTTGCAAATGCAGCAAGTCTTGTCAATTTGCAATCCCCAAGAGGCTATGCGAGTTCTAGTAGGCAGGCGGTCAAGGTAAGCTATCCACATCTGAAAAGCATGACTAGGAATGTGTCCTTGGAACCAGACAATACGGGCCCAACTCTGCTTTTGACCATGGTGGCGGAGCTCTTTCCAAGTAAGGGAAGCCGAGTAGTTTTGCAAAGTAATATCTAAATGCTAAACTCTCTTTTTATATTAAAAATTGTTAAACTTCTAAATGTGAGAATTTTGTTTCATATCTTACATTCTTTTATCAAATTCAGACAAAAGTGTTTTACTACCATGGATCTGTGCTCAAATGCAGCATTGCAAAAGAATTGCTTGACAAATATTTTCAACGAGAAACTGACTTGTAAATCATTTTATTGAACCGTTTCTTTTTTTGATCAACTCATTTTAATGAATCGTAATAAAGATTTTGTAAAGGTTACTGGTGTATATATATAAATAGGCTTACATTCAGGCCCCAAAGAGTTACATATCCGTTAGCCCATTATCCTCTCAAATAAAGCCCAAACAAGACGTTTCATTTTGACGCCGGCAGTTACCATCACCGTTAAGTCGACGTTGAGATCCCTGAGGAGAGGCAAGCGTGCGTAAATCATCCGGTGCAGACGTTCCCGGAAACTCACCATGGACTCGCACCACGCGTCTCTAGGACGCCGGACTGTAAGTATTTCCGTCGTCTCCGTCTTCATCTTTTCGTCTTACGTTATTCTACATCCGTCGTGATTTGTTTCTGTGATCTTTGTAGCTGGAGGAGATTCGTCAAAAGAGAGCAGCTCAAAGACTCAGCAAAACTTCTTCAGGTCCAGATCTTAGCGAGATTCCGATTCCTGCCGCCGGTAATTTCATCTGTTATTCAATTTTGGTTTTGAATTGGGAATGTACTTAGCTTGTTTCAATTTGTAATCCGTTGCAGGGATCAGAAAATCCGAGAGCGAGAATCGTCTTTCTGAGGTAGTATTTTATCAAAATTGATTTGATTGGTTGTGATAATGAGAATTTGAAATTTGAATTTGCTGAGTGTATAAATTGAACATTAGGAGTTTTGTATTGGTTTTATTGATATTAGTTTGTTGATTTTGGTTGGTTTTGTATTGCTTCCACAGACAGATGTTGGTGCTTTATATTCTCAGCTCAAAGAGCTGCAGAAAAAGAATGCAGACATGGAGGAGCGTAACAAAATGTTGTACTCAAAGGTACCATCCTTTCCTTGCAGGAAAACAGACTCCTTATCTTTTTATAAAATGTATTGATTTTGTTTTTTTTTGTCCATGGGCTTCAGCTTCAGACAAAGGAAGCTGAGAATGAATCACTTGAGACTCGGTTGAATGTGCTAGTGAGTTGCAATTTAAAGCTTTTTTTGTTTGTTTGTCATCTTTATCCATTCCTTTTTCAGTTTGTTTTGTAATATCTTGACATATGTTCTTGTGGGATGGATTTAACAGGAACACAACACAGTGCCATCTTTAAGAAAAGCTCTCAAGGAAATTGCGATGGAGAAAGATGCTGCTGTTGTTTCACGAGTAGGGATTACTCATATTTTTAGTTTTAATCGTGTTAAAGCTAACCTACCTTTGATTGCATTTTGATTGGTGTGTATATATTACTTATAGGAGGATCTCTCAGCTCAAGTTAGGACTCTGAAGAAACGTGTTAAGGAGGCAGAGGAGGAACAATATCGAGTATGCTGATAGCCTTATGTCTTCCGAATATTAAGTTTCCCTTTTCTTGTTTTCTAAACTGACTCTTTATGCATTGTTGATAGGCTGAGGAAGATGCAGCATCTCTCAGAGCAGAGCTTAACTCGATTCAACAGCAAACAATGGGTACTTCATTTGTTGGAGTTTCCCCGGACCAAGTATTAGAGAAGGAGATGGCCAAACTAAAATTAGAACTACAGGTTTGAGATAGATACTTTCTTGTCAGAGTCCTCGTTTCTATGACAATTAATGTTCTTAATATACACAGAAAGAATCAATGTTGAGGCAGCAAGAACAACAGCGTGTAACTGAAGAACAAACACGAGTTGCTTCGTTAATGTCTGAAAAGCAGGAACTGGAACAGAAAATTTCAGCTTTATCATCTAGCGGTGTCTCAGGTAATACATGATGGTTTGCAAGCCTCTTTGTTTCAAAACTAGTCCTTATACAGCTGTGGTGTTTGGATGCATTAGCTTACAAGTAAATGCTTTTTGAGTCGTTTAAGGAATCCTTCTATTGAATGTGCACTGTTAGATACATTATTAATAACTTTGTTCCCGTGCTATTTGTTATGCAGAAGTATCAGAGTCAAGTCAAAAAGTATTTTCAGTGGTAAGAAAATTTTAACTAACCCATTACTGCCACTTGCCAGCATATATTCCTTCAACGTTTTATGGAATCCTTGAGGGTTGATTGGTTTCCATGTAGGAAGATAAAGAAATACTTGAGAAGCAGTTGCATGATATGGCTGTTGCACTTGAAAGATTGGAGAGTAGTAGGCAAAAGCTTCTCATGGAGGTAATCTCTTAGTTTTCTGCTACTGTATAAACAATAGTCCAAGGTGAATGAGTGGAGAAATCAATTTCCATGAACTATGTTTTCAGATTGACAACCAATCATCTGAAATAGAGAAGCTTTTTGAGGAGAATTCGAACCTCTCAGCCTCCTATCAAGAATCAATTAACATATCAAAGCAGTGGGAGAATCAAGTAAGCATCTCACAGTTACTCTTGCGTGAGTAAATTTTCTCACTTTATATCGATTTGTATCACATACTATAGGTAAAAGAATGTTTAAAGCAAAATGTGGAACTCCGTGAAGCGCTGGACAAGTTAAGAACAGAACAAGCTGGTTTTCTCTCACCAGTGTCTTCAGAAGTTCAGACAAATGGGTCACATGGAACCGAAACTCTGTCCCTCAAGGTTTTAATCTTCAGCAGCTCTTAAGTTTTACAAAAACATAAATCTGTGTGACTAAAGTTCCGCATTGCCTTTTCTTTTGCAGAGCGAACTCGCGAAAGAACAGAGCAGAGCTGAATCGTTATCTGCGCAAGTTCTCCAACTCTCAGCTCAACTCCAACAAACAACACAAGCATACAATGGGCTCATGCGTGTGTAAGTTTCATTCACATAGTTTCTTCTTCAACCGTTTTTGAGATCCTATCGTTCTGTTGATTAATTCATATGTATTACAGCTATAAACCAGTGCTTAGAAACATTGAGAGCAGCTTGATCAAGCTGAAGCAAGATGGATCAGTTACAGTGGCACAGTGAACCAAGGGCACACTTCTGAGTACTGAATATAAATTGTATACAACAAACACCTATTTGGAAACTAATGGAACCGTGAGACTAACACATCATCACTTTTTTTCTGTACTAAACAATATGATTGGTTATTTCTTGTTTTGGTTTGATGAAAGTTGGTGTGGAGTAAAATTGAAATTCATTTTCGGTAGATTTTTCGAAAGTTCTTGTCGCTTCAGTCTAGTTTTAGTCCTACTCATTCGGCTATACCAGTTTTTTTTGTTAATCTGAGTTAGAAAGTTTGTTTTTTTGTTAATTCGAGTTAGAAAGTTGGAAATTCAGATTTTTCGGATTAAGCTATCAAATTGTTGAATTTTCGAATTTAAATGTAGATAATTAGGACAATTCAAATATATCGGATAACTCATTTTTGGTTATTTTAGTTTATAAATACATTGTTTTGAGTATTTTGGTTTAGGGTTTTTTTTTTTGTTTTGTTTCTGAAACACAATTTTGGTTTTTGGTTCAATATCGGTGTTTTGATTCTAAAGATATAGCATCTGTTCTAGATAGGATCTAAACTCAAACTGAATTTCATTTTTTGGTTCAGCTCGAGTTCGAAAGAAACTAGGTCTTATATATCTATACTATTATTTATTAATTGATTTTTTGTAACAAAATTCTCACGTTGAAAATTAGACATGTTTATGTCATTGTTACTCTAAATGAATTACATATATAATTTATTTTATAATTTAAAAAATGAATTTATAATAATAATAATAGATTTATATTATATTAGATAACTGATAATAAATTAATGTGAAAATTGTAAAAACAAAAACATATTTAAAAATAAGATGATTTTTATATATAGTGTCATCGTCACTTTTTTTTTCCATAAAGCATCATCAACATAGATAATCAACATCATTCCAAATTTTACCAATCCAGTCCCATAAGCTATATTAAACAAGTCTGAGAGAGTTTTTGAGAGAGAACAGAAGATATTCAAATACATAACATAAAGAAAGCAAGATATTCAGAATAAGCCTCTTCTTCTGTGCGAAGAAGAGGACATTCCACGCCAAAGCTACTGCCTTGCTTCTTCCACTGCCACTGCTCCATTGATGATGTCACACATCTGGCCGGTTCTCTCCAAACTACGGAGCTGGTCCTCTAAGACTGAGGCAATCTCATTGGCTGCTCTGCGTCTCGCCTCAAGTGCAGTTTTCGCTAGAACCGCCTTTCAATCGTCGTAACTTTACCTATAGAATTCATGCTTGAGATCTTACAAGAAGATATTCTCTAACTTCTCATCGTTTGACACTCTTGACACCTTTGGTATTGGGTTTGACGAGAAGCAGAAACTTATTACGGGTACATACATGGAATATAAAGTACTAAATTTTTCAGAAGGAAAAGAATGCTCAGGTCATAAATATACGTTTAAGTACCTCATTAGTTCTTAATATTGTCTTCCTAGGGTTCTTAGTAGATCTGAGAGAATTGACTATGTGACAGAAACCTTTATCACCTGATATTAGGACAAGCTGGCGACCTTGGTATTTTCCCTGAATCATTATTTCACAAATGTTGTTGAAACAATCGTGATCACATACCTTATGATAAAATATCTAGTGGATTAATGGTTTTTGATAAAGAATTTATGATGTATGGGGTTGATTATGACGGGTGACGAACTTGCCACAAATACAAAAAAATTTAAAGGTGAAGTGATCTCATTCTTCTTTATGTCTGTGGGAATGCGCATTAAATCATTCTTAGTAAACATAAATAATAGATTTTGAAATATTCTAAATGATTGATGAGAATTTTAATGTGTTTATCTAAATTCTTTCATTTTAGATGTTAAAGGAATAGAAATAAATCTGATAGATTCCATTCCCTTTACATTTTATGAGTTTTTTTAAATCTTTGTAATGCACAAGAAATGAATAACAATTTTACTGATAAAAATAACTATAAGCATTTCCATAGCATATAGATAGAAAAAATCATTTTAAAAAGTGGAATAAAAACTCTACTATCAAAAAAATAATAGAAAATCAATATTTGTATATTACTATATAAAGATATAGAAATAAGAGTAAACTGGATTATAGAAGAAAATTGTTTATCTATTGAAATATGAATTGATACATATACTTTATTATTTCGTTAAAACAATAATATATCTTTTACATAGAAAGATTGTTAAATAATAAAACATAATCACACATTATCTCTCTAATATCTTGACACTTATAATGATTTGAAAATATAAAATGACACTTCGATATCGAATATAATGTAAAGTTTTCAACTACAATTAATATAAAATAGAAGAGTATCATTACCAAAAAAATATCCACACTGGAGGTCTCATAACATAGAAACGCTGTTTATGTATCAGTTATGATTCAGTATTCATTCTAGAATTTTGATGTGATGGTGTTTATTCTTGACTAACGTAACAAGTAAACAAAATAGCTACCTATTGTAAGTTTAATCCTATATAACTATGAAATATAGAGAAATAATTATAATACAATTAAGTGGGATGACCGAATTAAAATATCAAACAATTGCATCAACACTAACCATATTACTCTAAAATCAATATTTCATTATCATAATTCTTTTTTATTTCATAATCTTGTACATATCCTAATAAATATTTAACCTAACCAGTTAACTAATCTATATTGTTGTTTACGAAGTGATTTTTCGCAATGAAACTCTCACATTGAAAGTTAGACTATCTAATGTAATTGTTACCCTTAATGAATTATATATATATATAATTTATTTATATTAAAAAGAATTTATAATAATAATAGTATCTCTATAATATTATTTGAGAAGTCACTTTCTTATGTGTCGCGTTCACATTAACTCTCACGCTGGTTGATTACTATGATACACTTAATAAATTTAAAAAATACATTTAAATATTATTATTTCCTTTTAAAAATTTTCCAAATAACAATATAAAATAAAAAGGAAAATTTTATTAAATTTACAAATATATTTAAAAACGAAAATATAAGTATATATAAATATGGTTTCATAGAAAAGGAAAGTTCACAAAATAGTACTATTTAATTTAAATATATTTTAAACTAGGTGATTTTCCTGTGCTCATGCACGGACTTAAATATTTATAAAATAAATATATTATAATAATTTATTGATATTTACTTTAAATTTATATTAATTTATAATTTGTAGGTATAATTTATATTAATAATATTATATTAATTTAATTATATATATAATTTTAGATATGTTATATTTTGTTAGTTTTATTATTTTTACGGTTGATTTAGTTATCATTTGGATATATTAGATTCTATCTATTTCTTTGAATTCAACTATAATCCTTTTTATCCGAAATATATTAAGTTTTGATTAATTGTCTTATTTGCATTGATGCCAATTGTTATCTTAGAAATATAAGTATATCTACTAAGATTATGTATAACTTAAGATTTTTTGTGCTTAGAAAGAAAAAAATAAAACTAAACTGTATGATATTAAATTACATACATAAGTGACTAATATATTTTTGGAACCTTATGAACACATATCAATATTTACAATATTTAGATTGATTAGATGAAAAATGTATTAAATAATTTTAAAAATAAGGATTCTGATTTGCTTAAGTATTTTAATTATGGTTACATTAAGTTCCACAAACATAAAAACAGAAAATTAAAAATCAAAAGAGTTATTAAGAAAACATATAATTTTAACAATTAAAATATATTATATCTACTTCGTTAAATTATATAGTGTTATGATATTTTAAAATAATTGTAGTTATTTAATAAACAATGTTTATTATTAAAATTTATTTTTAGTTTTATTTTTAATATTTGTTAAAATATGCAGTAAAATGTTTTTGTTTTTGAGAAATTGTATTATATAAGTAAAATAGAATTTATATGTTTTGTTGTATTGTGAGATATTATAGTCAAATAAATATACTAAAAAAATATATATTTCAAGAATACAAATTATAAAAAAAACTTCAATTAAACATATATCAGATTATGTTACTTAATTATTTTATGTAATCTTCTAATAAAATAGATAGATATATACCAAAAAAATAATTACTTTGAATATATATATATATATATATATATTATTGTTTATACTTTTTTATAAAAAAATATTTCTTTTTCTAATATCAAGATTAGTTGTGTGAAATTATTTTATGGAATCACATTATATACAAATATTTTTTTTCATCTAAGAAGATATAAATATGAAGTATTTTATTACTTCAAAAGTATATTTTATGTTATTTAAAATATATTTAAATTAAATATTACTATTTTGTGAACTTTCTTTTTTATGAAACCATATTTCTATATACTTATATTTTTGTTTTAAATAGTTTTGTAAACTTTATAAATGTTTCCTTTTTATTATATTGTTATTTGGAAAATTTTGAAAAGAAAATAATAATATTTAAATGTATTTTTTAATTCATTAGGGGTATCATAGTAATCAACCATCGTGAAAATTAACATGAGTGCGACACATAAGAAAGTGACTTCTCAAATAATATTATAGAGATAACATAAAATATACTTTTGAAGTAATAAAATACTTTATATCTATATATTCTTAGATGAAAAACAATATTTTTATATAATGTGATTCCATAAAAAATTCACTCAACTAATCTTGATATTAGAAAAAGAAATATTTTTTTCTTTAAAAAAAATAATTTTAAACAATAAATATATATATATTTTCAAAGTAATTATTATTTTTGTATATATCTATCTATTTTATTAGTTGATTACATAAAATAATTAAGTAAGATAAACTAATGTATGTTTAATTGACAAAAAAATTACAATTAATATTCTTGAAATATATTTTTTTCTTTTTAGTATATTTATTTGACTATAATATCTTATAATTACAGCAAAAAATATAAATTCTATTTTACTTATATAATATAATTTTCAAAAACAATAATTTTTTTTACTGCATCTTTTAAGAGATATTAAAAACAAAACTAAAAATAAATTTTAATAATAAACATTTTTTGATCAAATAACTACAATTTTAAAACATCATAACACTATATAATTTAACAAAGTATATATATTATATTTTAATAGTTATATTTATATGGTTGCTTAATAATTCTTTGGATTTTTTATTTTCTGTTTTTATGTTT